GAATGTGCGAGAGGCGAGAACTCTCCAGACCAGCAGGTGGCGGCGGTCTGAAAGACCCCGGGCCGAGGCGTTTGTTTACCTTGACCTCCACTTGAGAAAATGTCAGACGATATGGCGTTGTGTGCCGCTTGTTTTCCGTCACCACCTCTTCTCGTGCCCCTATTCGCTGGCTGAGAGCCAATCAGAGTGATTTCTCTCTCCTACTGGTCACTCGCCCAAAAAGCCTTGGACAAGCCTCAAGCTTTACCGACCAGAACCACTGACTCTCTCCAACAGCCCTGACAAGCCCCGCCCCCCTGAGGCCTGACCCGGTGTGTATCTAACTTTATAACCACGCCCACATCACTAACAGTGTCTGACTTCCTGCTCCCGCCCTGTGACGTCAGTCAGCTGACTCCTGAACGCTGAGGAAACAAAAACAACCCAAAGAGCAAACGGCGGCACGCTAAAGTAAGCTGAGGTCACATGACCGTTAGAGAGCGTGTGGTTAGTTTGTGTCAGCGGGACTCAAACATCCGTCTGAATGACTTTCTGTGACGCGTCCAGGTGAGGATCGTGTTTCTCTATCGACGAGGAAAATCTAAAAATAGAAACATGAGATGAGTCACCAGGTCATAAAAAGGGAAGGTGACATTTAACTTTTACTTCCTCCTGAGAGTCAAATCAGAGCGCAGGAGGAAGAAAGAAACGAGGTCATATACAAACCATCATCAGGAGGAAAGAGTCGCTCACATGGCGAGATGATAACACGACGTCACCGAGGTTAGAAACGATTTCACTGTGAACGACATGATCGAACTCGCCTGAGAGAGAGACACATTTTAAACATGAACGTGTTTAAAAAGGATGAACATATTCTCCTTGGGTAATAAACGTGTTGCTCTGCTCAAGCTAAAGTCCAAGAAGTATCGACCAATCACGTCACAGCTGGTTTTCAAATGTGCACTGGATCATTTCAGGAGGAATGTTCCTCATATTAGAAATCTACTCAGAAGGAGGGAGATGGTGAGTCAGACTTCTATCAGAGACCCCCCCTGCTGGGGGCGCCGGTGACCTGGTGGTTAGTGTGTGGCCCGTAGTTCAGAGGCCGATGTCCAAGTGGGCGGCTCAGGTTGGAATCCGACCTGTGGGTCCTTCCCTGCCTGTCTGTCCCCCCCGCTGGACAGTTTAGAGACGGCAGCCGAGGTGGAGACGCTGCGATGATGAAACGTTAATCTGGTTTCTCTAAATGACGGATTCACTGAGACGCCGCTCTGCAGGGCGCAACACGCTTCTGGAAATTCCCATAAATGACACAGACAGGAGAGTGTGTGTGTGTGTGTGTGTGTGTGTGTGTGTGTGTGTGTGGATCGGAGAGTGAAACATTCTGTCGTTTCATCACTTTGCTCTAGGCTTCAGGATGGAGGAGGCGTGGCCTAACAGATGTTTGTTTTGGTTTCAAGCTGGACCTTCTTTCTTTAATGACGGCTACAAAAGGTTTTGAAATCTGAAAAACGAGTTCACAGACATGAGGAAAGTTTAACTGATGTTTAACATTATAATCCTCTGAACACACACACACACACACACACACACACACACACAGGTGGAATCATAAATATCAGACATGTTTGATATGTATGATTCCAGACGCTCTGACTCGATCAGGACGCAGTGAGGTCACACTGGAGGATTGTTTGTATGTTGACAGTTTTGCAGCAGCTTCTTCACGTCATGTGGTGCTGAAGACGACCTGCTGTGTTCACACACGCCGCTCACCACCAACAGTTTCTGGAAGTTTTGTAGATTTTCTTTTAACGGTAAGCGGCGAGTATGAACACAGCTTCATGACTCAGCCTGGGTGTGTGTGTGTAACGTGTTGGTCTTGGAATGTGTGTGTGTTTGCTGGCATCACCTGTGAGTGTGTTTTTCCCCTCAGCAGACGGACAGGTAACAGCACGTCTGTTTCCCTCTGTATGAATAACAACACACTCGAGGCGGAGCTTTACTTTAAATCTTCAAGTTAATCTAAAGTCAAAACTTTAAGTTTCTACATTTTTATTCTCCAGTCTTTTCTCTTCTTTTACTAACATCCAGCCCTGCAATCATGTCTGGATTTGTTTGGACCAGAGAAGGTAGGCGCTTTTAAGACACGCCCCCACACGGCCGTTTTGGACGCCCCTCAGTTTGTCAGATATGAGAGCAGTTATCAGGTCAACAGGTGTTGTAGTGATGGAAGCGGTCAAGAGAAGTGGTTCAGATAGAAGTGATTGTACCCGACCTAAAAAGCCTCTGCATGTTTCTAATAAGCTCCACGAGCAGAAACGTGCTCAAACTAGGATCAATATTGGAGATGCTTTTGAAAAATGGAGAGAGGTTAGAACACAGAAAGGTTTACAGACCCATGCAGAGCTGGATAAACACTGAAGCTTCAGAGTCCACCACATGGTGACCTGAGTGAGCATGGACTCTAGAGAGGAGGGGGGGGAGACAGCTCTCTATGATGTTTAGAATTTAGACTGCAGTACACATTTTAAACACTAGGGGTCAGAGTTACAGACTGCTCCTTTAATGAGCATGCTAATGAAAATGCTACAACAAGTAAAAGGTGAATTTTCCAGTGAAGTGTTTGTAGAGTCGACCTTCTGGGCCACCGTACAATAAAGATGATTCTTAATGTGAACACTTTTAATCACTCTTTACACATTCATTTGAATCCAGCTCATCGTTTCCTCTCTCTGAACGGTTTCTGTCTTTTACCTTCGATCAGTCGGTCGTGTCATATTCAATAAAAACAGAAAAGAGACACAGACGTTGTTTTTAAAATGTTAATGTGCATAAAAATAGTTTATTTCCAAGAATAAATCAGAACCTGCAGAAACCAATGATTCATTGGCTTCTCCACTCCATCGGTGATTCACATGTGATGTGATGAAAAGCAGCAGAACAAACATTTCTCTCTCTCCGAGCTCAGACGGCACACCTGACCTGATCAGAGCCGCTCGCCGTGTGAGGGCGAGCCCGACTGACACTTTGTTCAAACGGCTATCAGAGTTTTCTTGATTCAATTTGAGTTTCTGGAGGTTTAAAAGACCTTGAACCAGCTAGTGTTTTAGAAGCGGGTGGCAGAGAGACCTTGGATATTCAAACACATGTTGGCAGATTTATCAGCGAAGAAGTTTCAAATGTGAAACTTGTCGGGCTCTGATCAGCTCAGGTGTGCAGCTGAGACACGGCTCACATCCCCTGAACAACGAGATGAACAACAAACCACATCAGCAATCCTTCTACAAACAACAAACATAAATAAAAAAGCAAAACAACAAAATCTACAGATAAAAGAAACTCTTACAAAATGAAAAGTTTCCAAACTATCGGCCTCTGAAATCTCAAACTAGTGTATATAAAACTTTTTAAATCACATATACAACAGCTTAAAAAGGGGAGAGCACCCCGACCTGAAAGAAGGCAATAAAATTATTCCACAGTTAAATTAAAACAAAATAAAAATGAACGAGGTGATCTAGTGGAGGGGGGGGGGGGTTGAGGAGGAGGGGGTCAAGGAGGAGGGGGAGGAGTTAGTATCAAAACATTACTGCAGGAAACAATTTGGCATTTAAATATTTGGTAGATATTCGTGTTGCCAGGATGTGGCTAAGTACCAACTTTACATCTTTTTTTTATGTTTTTGTAGTTTTTTTTTCTTTAACAACTATTTACAGATCCTCGTAGAGCAGTGTGCTCGCTGCTCGCTCAGCGGAGAAATGTGAGCGTCGAGTCGCTTCGGTGACGCTCGGAGACCCCAGAGTGAAAAAACAAAAACATCAAACTGTCAGGAGAGTAGCTTATCGAGGAATCATCAACCCCATGATGTAGAAGATAAAAGAAGAAAACGACAGAGTACCGGTTTCTCCGATCACAGAGCTTAACGTGTCTCAGTGGAAATGTACGGCGGCGGCGGCGCGTGTGTAAACGGGCTCTCTTAGCGAGTGAACGGCGGGCGTGGAAGCTTCACGGAGGAGAGTCAAAGGTGGTTTGATGATCGGGGAAAACTTTCTTATGTGCAGTCAGCTAGCTTAGCACAAAGTCGGGTTGTCATGGTGACAGATTAATAAACTTTGATTTGATTCTAGTAAAAATCAAACCACGTCGTTACCGAAGTTTGTTTACGTTTTGGTGCTTTTTAGAAACTCGATCGTTCAAATCAGATCGTCGACCGAACGCCATGACGCTAAAGCAACGCTTCATGGTGATGAAGCTGCAGCGCCATGCGAGCGCTACGAGGTCACACTGAAATATGAAGTCAAGTTTGTCATTCAGCCAAACCAGGCTAGGAGTTTCCATCTGTTTCCAGTCTTTATGCTAAGCTAAGCTAAGCATCAGCAGGATGTAGCATTTTAAAGTTCTCCCCAAAAAAACATCAAACTTTTCCTTGAGGCTTGAATGTGACTGTGTGTGTGTGTGTGTGTGTGTGTGTGTGTGTGGAATGTAGGTGTGTGGCCCTGCAGCAGCGTGTTGCTCTGACTCGAGTTCAGCAGAATAACAGAAAAACAAACCCTGGAGGCACGGCGCTCGTTATGACAGCGTTTAGACATCGTCAGCTTTTTAAAGTTTTCTCTCAAAGTTTGTGGCAAGAGGGCAAAACGTGTGTGTGTGTGTGTGTGTGTGTGTGTGTGTGTGTTACAGTATTTGCAAATTCTTCTCCCGGATTGGTTTAGCTTACTTCTCTGGTGCTACGTGGCAGACTGACGGGACTTTCCCGGGTATGAGGAGATACAAAAAGACGGCAGGAAGTCGTTAAAGGTCAAAGGTCGCTTTAATGAACTCTGCTGCGTCTGAAGATGCAAAAAAATCTTAAACTGAGTGATTTGAAAAAAACCTTCCCGACTCTTTGACCCTTTAAGGAGCACAGCGAGGATAAAAAAGATCGGCGTTACGATCGTTATGGAAGCTTCAGTCCAAGGAGGAGGGGGGGGAGGAGGAGGAGGAGGAGGGGGGGAGGAGGAGGGGGGAGGAGGAGGAGGGGGGGAGGGGGGGGGAGGGGGAATAAATAACTGGACTGTTAATGTGTACCGTCTTTGCACAGTGTTAGTGTTTCAACTGAAGAGGAGTTTGAAGGTTCAGGGACAAAAACAAAAATGGCCGCCGTGTACTGTGCAGCTGAAGTCGTCCAATCCTGTCGCTCCTTTGTACGAGTTTGAAGAGAGACGAGCTTCTGATTGGTTGAGAGAGCACCAATAATGGAATAGGCAGACATAAGGGGGCGGAGTCAGTCTATTGATTGTGTAGTCGGGGGTTGTCGTCTCTCCTGGTTTCTCCCCCAGAGACACGAGGAAGACGAGGAAGACGAGGAAGACGAGGAAGACGAGGAAGACGAGGAAGACGAGGAAGACGAGGAAGACGAGGAAGACGAGGAAGACGAGGCACTGATTGGGACTTTAAGGGGGTGAGGTGTGTGTGTGTGTGTGAGGGACGGGGGGGGTCTATGCGTAGATCTCTGTGGTGGGGGCTTTCTTGTAGATGGGCTTCTTCCCCAAGTCGTAGCTGCCCTCGTCCTTCTTCTTCATGCGGTAGATGAGGAGGAGGATGAGGAGGACGGCGAACATCAGGCCGACGGCGCCGCCCGCGATCAGAGCTGGAAGAGACGAGAAAGAAACAGGAAGTTCAGACACGAGAACATCTCTGATCTGATTTCTGTCTCACTTGGTCTCCACTGACCTGCGAGGACCTCCGTCTTGTTGAAGATGCTGTCGTCTCCGGCGTGCGCCATGAGGACGTTGGACGGGTGCTCCTCGCCGCTCTGACCCTGGTTCCTCAGCAGAGGGATTTCGTTGCTGTTCTGGACGATCTCCAGCTCGTTGACGGTCGGCCGCACCGGGCGCTCCGCCTCGGGGATCTTGTTGTTGTTGACATCAGGCTGAGGAAGAAGAGAGCGAGTTAAAAACATCAAACATGAAATATAAACACCGAGTCTCAACCCAAAGAAGATCCAGAACGTCACTTCCTGTTTTTAGTTCAATTAGAAACATCAGAGTGTACAGCTGGATGATGTAACAGCTCGCCATGGGGGCGTTCCTCACCTTAGCTGTCGTCTTCGTCTCTCTCGGAGGTGAAGCGGTCGTTGCTGTAGAAAGATGAAGATTCTCAGTTTATTATTCAAGAACACCAAAACAACATGAAACCATCTTAAAGACGTTTTCATAAAGACCGACCTCCGTCACCGGATCCTGAGGACTCGTCCTCGTAGTCGTCCTCCTCGTCCTCCTCGTCGTCGTCGTACAGCGGGTAGTAGTCATCGTCATCGTCTTGGTCATATTGGTCTTTGTCGTCCTCGTCGTCTGTGAAGGCGAAGTCCGAGCCGTTGGGCGAGTCTCCAGACGACTCCAGGACGTCACGGTGTGTCGTCGACATGGCGGCGGTCTGTGTGGTCTTCATGGGCATCCACGTCTCCGTCTCCCTCACCTGCTGGGACACCAGAGACACAGCGGGGGTCAGAGGGGAGCGACCTCGGATATTCATCATAACACATTTTAGAAGTCGACACAGATTCCTGTTTCCATACTGCTGCAACAAGTAAACGTCCGTGACATCATATATGAGGTGGTTTAACTCCCTGACCTTTGACCTGTGGGTCGTGTTTGTATCAGACTAATAATCTCTCTCTGAGTCAGAGCTCCACTTTCTAAAACCAGGGGCCAACTTTAGAGGCCTGTGTCTGACTGACGGCGCTTTCTATGCTTTCATAAGACCGCCACACTCGTCAATGTCACTTGTTCCTCACAGGCCAATCAACATCAAGAAGGGGCGGGACTTCTGACATCAGCGTTGTCAACAGCAATGTCGGAGGAGAGACTACTCGGACAGTTTCAGGTGTCGAGCCGCTGCTGATGTCAGGACACAAATCTTTAATGAAGTAAAGTATTCACACACACTGTGAGGTCACTGTGAGGTCACTGTGAGGGAAGAGGAAGTGTCATTCTGTAACCTAGCAACAAAGAGCGGCGGTGTGAAGTGCTCTGTATCTTGGAGGTGGTGGGCGTCACCGTGGACTCTTAAAGTTTAATCAGACAAAGTGATTTAATCATCAGTGTGAAGATCTCTAAAGATTCATCAAAGAGATTAAAGAGATTAACTCAAGATGAAAATACTCTGAAGCTCCTCCCCTAATCACATGAAGCACCATTCACTGACCATCTGCTGGACGCACACACACACACACGCGCACACACGCACACGCACACACACACGCAGGTAAACGAGGTGACAAAAGCTCAGAGTAAAGCTCGTCAGAATCGTGTTTTGTGACCGTTCACTTCGTTGATGTTTAAATGCACATCAGGAAAATATGAAAATGTGTTTATGCATCTCAGAATTTTAGCAAATTACCCAAAATCAGACGTCTGTTTTCTGTTGCTGTGCAATCACAACATCAACGATCTCATTTTAAACGTCCGTTACCGTGACAACACTAATCCAGTTGATTTGAGTGTTTAGTTAGAGAGCACGCTGAAGAACAAACTTAGTGTTCCTCATGAAGCCGTCCATTAAGAGAGAACAAAAGCTGACCACAAATCTGACTGGAAACACGCCCGGGCGTCCCTCCTCATTACTCCCCCCTTCCCCCTCCCTCCCCCCCTCCTCCCCCCTCCCCCCCCCCCTCTCTGAACACAGAGACTCTGTTCTGTTGACATCATCAGTTCTCCTCATAATCACTTCCATCTGAGTGTTGTAAGGACTCATCATTTGAGGAGTTAGCTGGTGGTTAAGCTCGCCGGGGGCCTCCCAGCATCATGTGTGTGTGTTCTCAAATACTTGGCATAGTAAGGGAGTGTGTTTGACGGTAACCCCCCCCCCCCTTTAAAAGTAGCTAATGTGAGTAGAAAGGAGGGAAGGTTTCCTTTGTGACTGCACAACAGCTTCAAACAAGGCGGCCATTTTACTGGGATTCCTCTGAGCTACAAGGTGGGCTGAAGAGGACCCGGGGTCCGTTTTCTCTTTTCATTCTTTAACTTTCCTTAAGCCTCTGTTAACGAGGGACCCTTAATGATTTCAAAGACGAGTAACCAAAAAACTGAACGGGGAAAGGTGGATTCTGAGGATCAACCAGATGCTCCTCAACAGAACCACGAGCGTCAGTCTTCAGTCTTTCTACATCTTTGAAGCATAACCGCCCGAGTACATGGACAGCACTTTTCATGCTGACAGCGTCCACGACCTCCGTTTCAAAGCTTCTCTCCAGCACGTTGTGTCCGTCTGTGACGTCGTTCAGGTGTGTTTAATATCAACATGAAGACGACGTAGAGGAGTCCTGACGTCAGCGCTAAACCTCAAACTGTTCCCTCCAAAACACCAGGTAGACTAGCGTCTCCTCCACCATTGCTGTTGACAAAACTGGAATCAGAAGTCCCGCCCCTTTTTGATTTCCATTGGTTGTGAGGGAGGAATGACAATAGCTGTTCTCAGATGAAATCAGACTTTATGAAGAGGAACGTTCCATTTGTGGAGAACTGCACACCATGGGCTCGTCTTTATTCTGCCTGTGGTCGCACCGCCATGTGGCTGGGAGCCAAAAAGGTTCCTCTAGACGGCCTGCTAGGAACTTCAAAAGCATAGAGTTCCTGCGGGGCAGAATCAATAAAAATAAAAAAAAGGAGGAGGGTACCATAAGTTCCTAGAACTATGAAAAAGTAGCTGCAGCTCTAAAAGGCTGAGTGATGAACACTGAGCACTGTGACAGGAAACCGATGAGGAGGATGTTTTGAGGCTTCTCGCCACCTTTAGTTCTTCTTATCACTGATCTTTAAATCTCAACAGGAAATTAAAAACACTTTTTATTTCACTTTAAAACAAATATGTGGACACATTTTTAATCAAATCACAGTTTTGATCTCTTCTAAGAGCTCCACATTCTTCCTGTGTAACCCCTGGATACTATAGGAGCGACTCCCAGGGTGCGAGTCCCCCCGGTCAAGGATCACCGCTCTATTATGTCCTCATTTAAACCCTACAAGGGCACAGGGGCGCTGTGATCCTCCCTGTGTGTGTGTGTGTGTGTGTGTGTGTGTGTGTTCCTAATCCTAAGCCTGAAAATGGTGACTACTGGCTCTTCATTTCCTGCGGCTCCGAGCTGAAGCGTGCTGGAACAGGCCGCTGAGTCACTGTTTAGGAGAATCACACTGTTTCACACTCATCTGAGTCAGACGGAGTCTATGAAGTCTGCCAGTGTGAGTCACATCCATTCACACTCCTAATATATTTGAAACCTTTCCCTCAGACACGTCCCACTCAGAGTTTCAGTCCACGGGAGCGTCTACCTTCAGGGTCGTCCAATAAGATCTTAAGATGTTGAACGCCTGATGGGTTAACCTGAATGATCTGTGCAGAAACTCACACATCTTCATGTTCCAATAAAGGGTCTCAACATCTACAATCCGGAGAGAGGATTCAATACGTGTTTTTAATCAACACAATCTGTTCTTTTAACGACTGTGCAGAAAAGTACCAACGCTCTGAAGCATTAACATCTTATTGAAAAGACAGAGGCGTGCAGGAGAGGAAGGAGTGAGTCGTCTGCACACGGTCTTATTGCACAAAATCATGTCGGGTCAATTCTTGTTTTGTTTACAACAAATTGAAAGCACACCGTCTAACATGCATGAGTACGTTAAGTACCAATTCAATGCCCAGTGTAGACTCTCTTTAGCTTTTGTGCTGAGGCTGTGGTCCTTCAAGCGGACGGCCTGGGTTCAAGTCCAACCCTGAGGCTCATTTCCCCCCCTCTCTCAGTTTCTGTCCACTGTCCCGTCTCTAAAATAAAAAAGGCACAAAAAGCTGCCCAAAATAATCTTAATTAAACAATAATAATGCCTTCTAGTCAGCACCGCTGCACTACCTGATACATCCAAACTATTATGACAGATGATATTAGATGATATTTTAAAAACATGTGGTATTGAAAGTCAGACTCCAAAATTTGACAACATCTGAATCTTCAAATTGAAATATTTCCATAATGATGAACTTCTCAAAGAAAGCATTAAAGATTTGTTATTTTGGGAAACGAGTATTTGAAAGTTCTCTTCATGCTCACAGTTTTAAATACCAAAGTAAAATAACTGAGTTTGCTTTTTCCCAATAAACAAAGCCAACACACACGATCAATAAGCAGAGGAGTCAGGATGTGCCTCCCTGCCAGGTCCCTGGAGAGTCAACAAAGTCCTTCCTGCCCCTGACTTTAAACCACCCTGCTGTGAAGTGTGGACAAACCGTGGCGTCCTGAAGACACGTGCTAAAAGACACTTCACCATTTGCTGCTGCTGCTGGGCTCTACAAAAACAACAGCTCACTGTCTTACATACTGACAGAGGCCTGTCCCAACAGGTCGGATTGTTCAAGCCGACAGAGGAGGAACATAAAGAATTCAAACTGGGGGGGGGGATTTTTTTTTTTAAGAGGGCAGCCGTTGAATCTACGATCAGATTTGGGGATATTCCATCTTTACTGTGTTCTCCCAGGAGGCTAAGTCAGGTCGGGATTCAGGCCAAGTCCCCGTCTGCCTGGACAAAAACAGCTTCAGTCCAAGAATGTGTTGTGAAAGAGCACAGCCACAGCAGAGCGGAGGATGACAGTGGACGTGAAAAATGTGAGCCATAACAGTCTGAAGACTTATTAAAAATACCTTTCTCTGCTACAAAACACAAGTCTGCATTCATGGAGCATGGTGTGGAAAGTGGAACCAGTGCAGACTGGGAGAGAGGGCAGGGAACATCCTGAACTATGGTTATGTAACCACGTCGCTCACACAGTGATTTTACAATGACTGGACCACGATCCATTCAGTCCTGGCTCCATGCTCGCTCAGTATCGGTCTCGTGTGTCAATAAACAGGAACTCTGGGAGGATTTGGTTTTTAATTTAAACTAAAGAAACAAAACAGACTGTAAGGAGAGCTTTGTGTTGATAGGACTGGATCTCAAAATAAAGAGAGTGATTCAATAAATATGATTCAACAAACAGTTATACAAGAGAGTATGACGTTACAGGGACTGCATACCATAATACGACTATCCAAAATATACGATAGCAAACTAAAATACGATCAGAAACAACAACATACAGCAACTACGGCTCAATATGTTCCCGTTTGTAACCAAGACAATTGTTTTCTACCCTTCATGACTCTGTCGGTTTCTTAAAAATGTGTTCCTCGTCTTTATGGAAGAGAGACTATAGACTAGAGGTGGGACAAAAATGGATGCATGTAAAAGTCGAGATTCTCCTCTTAAGATTTAAAATTGATTCATAGCTTCGAAAAATCTTCACTCGTTTTTTTTCTGGCTGATCAGTCACTCCCTGCTAAGAGGAAATAATATTACTGTCTCAACCAATCAAGACAATCATCAACAAATGTGGTACTTTTCCTGCCGTCCAGAGTGTATTTCTGTATTTTAGCTTAAACCAAACAA